TCGTATCATTCCAATGACTTTTATTACCTCCTTTACTCTCAAAATTGTCCTGGTGTGAAAAACAAATTACATTTTCACATTGATGGGAAAGAACCAAAGACATTGATAAGCTCACACACCACGGGACCTAGTTTCACTTCCCCATAGGAACTTAACTTCCTCTTTCTCATCTCATCTTGTTATCTATTAAAAATGAATAATATGTAAGAAGTTTAACAGAAATGTCAAGAACAAGTTGAAAGCTTTCTCAGACCTCCCTGTAACAGGGAAATTTAGGCATCACTGCCCAGCTGTTGTTTTGCTTCGTAAATGCTGGATTTAAATTAAAGTTATAGATCAAGTGCCTTAACCTTCAGCAGGAAACATCCATTTGAATAGCACATTCCAGGGAAGGTTCCCTTTAAGAATCCTATACCAGGAAGAAAGCACAATTAGACAAATACATAAATCAGTGGGACAGTAAAAGAATAATACAACCTGGCCACAAGGAAGTTTCCATTAGGAAAATAATAAAACTTACTATATAGAATAAGAAAACCCATATATCCATCTTTATGGAATGAAATTCAACCTTCCTGCTTTTCAGAGATGTAGTATAGAAATAATGGCTACCTTCTTAACATGGTAAACCAAATCTGGCACTATGTGTAAAGTTAAAACACTAAAAGCACACTCCCTTTACGTTCAGGAGCAAGACGATCAAATTCTTCAGCAGCACATGTATTAATACATTCAGAGCAATTAAACCAAAGAGAGAGAGAGAGAGTAGAAGAAAGAAAAAAAGAAAGGAGGGATAGAAGGAAGGGAGGGAAGGAAGGAAAGGAAAGAACTTATGAGGAATACCCTGGGATTAGGGACTAGGAAACAGGGCCACAGAGTAAACATTTTAGGCTTTGCAGGACATATGGTTTCTGTCCCAAGTTCTTGACTTTGCTGTTGTAGTGCAAAAGCAGCCATAGACAATACATGAACAAATGAACATGGCTGTGCTCCATCCACTAAATTTCTATTTATGGACACTGAAATTTGAGTTTCATATAATGTCACATATCACAAAATTTAATATTTTTTTTCAATTTTTTCCCCAACCATTTAAAATTGTAAAAACCTTTCTTAGCTCCTGGGCTGTACAAACACAGGTGGACCAGGTTTGGTGACCCCTTCCCTAGATCATTTTAACAGTAATTAATTTCATTAATTTAATTACTGGCAGTTAATTAATTAAATAGTATCTAACCATTTGATAAATATAAAGAAATTTATCTAATTGCCTGTTTTCCTATTTTTTGCACAATAAGGTAAAGGTTTTATAGAAAGATTGTAAAGAGAAATCAAATTACGAAAAAAGTGCTGGATTTTAAAACAGCATTTTTATTTCCTTCCTTCTTGCTCTCTCTCAGAAAACATCTGATCTCTCTAACTGCTAGTTATATTTCTGTAAACAGAGTAACCCCTAGGAATTTTATTTGCTTTATATTTAATCTGCAAGCCTCACTGGACACTCATCAAGAACAATGGCATACACACAGTTCCTACATTCACTCCAGTTTCTTTCTTTTTTTCTTTTTTTGGTGCTGAACTCCAGCCAAACATTAAATTACCTTGGGAAGTGAAAGGTAGAAGAGAAAGAACTTGGCGATGGTATTTGGCCTCATTTTACAAGGACACTCAATCTTAATTTAGAGAAGGAGAAAAGAGGTTTTTTTTAGCGTGAGAAGCATGAGAACTAGAAAGTAGAGATTTTCAGACAAGCCTACTTTTGTAAATTTGCAGGTGACTACGCTCTTGTTTCTCTGCAGGAGGGGTTGTAGGTCAGGTGTGTGTGCATGTGTGTCTATAAATCCACACCCATTTTTAACCAGAAACATCCAGAATACACTTCCAACAAGAGCACTGGCCAGTTCAGGTAAGCAAGCAAAATTTCCAGATTATTTAATCAGTGGTAAAGCTCTGCTATCTTTAAATGACCAATTTCTGCAATCTAGAAGTGAGGCTTTCAGTAAAGGATGCAGAGAGTGAGATGAAATTGTATTTTTCTTCTTTTACTGAACTGGGTTTCCTTTGCTGGTTTCATAGTTTTATTCCCTATTTATATTAATGATATTAGAATAAACTGGCATCAATCAAAAATGACTCTTTAAAAATTATTCTACAAGTAACAATGGTTCTTCCTTCTATTCCTTCAAATTTTGCTTTATTTTAAAAATAAAGAAATTTGAAATATAATGTTTAAGTAAATAAGTTATGTTAAATTACTTTTGAAAAGTAAAACACTGGTGTCAGAAAATGCTAACTGGCTTATGTTTACAAAACCTAATTTGGTTATGTGCCTCCCAAGTGCACAGTAAGCTGCTGCCAGGCCCAAACCATGTTGTATTCATCTGTTTTCTCCCAAGTAATATAACCTTGCAATGGGTACTAAACGACCCTCAGCAATTACACTCTATTTTACCAAGGGCAGCATTGTTTGTTCAAAAACAATAATGTACAAATTTTATTGTTTGTTATAGAGTATATTTAATATCTATTTTATAATTTATCAAACAATGTAAAACAGAAAACCAAAATTTTTATTTTTTAAGTAGAAAGTATTTGACAATAATACATAAATACTTGAAATTTGAAAAAAAAAAAAAAATTGGTTCCCACTCAACTCCAAACTTGGCAGCTTTAAATTAGCAAAAATGATTAAGTTGTATTTTATCTTTTTTCAATGTAGATTCCACATGTTTATCTCTATCTCCAACGTAGAAAACATTTCTAACGCTTACTCCAGATTGATTTTTCTTAACTTTTCTTTACATCCAATATCCCTGTAAGAATCTCAAGACAATTTTGTACCCTCTTTCCCAGAAAATGAAGAGGCACATGAAATTTTACAAATAATTTCAGGGTTTTTGGAGCTTCCTGTAGCTCATCCATAGACCTTCTAGAAGCCCACTGGATCCAGGTTAAGACCTACCTGGACAGTTGTGCTTTTTTTTCCCCACTGCCGCTTTTTTTTTTCCCCACTGCCGCTTTTAACCTGACTGAGACTGCCCTCCCCAGGCCGGGTTGTGTTCCAGATTCAGTTGTCCCTATCCCCTAGTAAAATCTACCCTTTCTTGTTTCAGTCTTTAAAGTATAAAATGACCATTCCTAAGGTACAAGATGACACTCTGAAATGTTTTACGGTTTAATAAGTTACGGGAACTTAAACTGAGGTCCTTATCAGGCATCATGGTTATTGTTTAACAGGGTTTTTAAATACCTGAATACAAAGAAAGTTAAAAATGGGTCTACTGCAAATTAGGGAGGAAAGTAATTTAAATAAGACAAACCTAGAGTGGCAACCATTTTCAATCGGGAGAGAGGACAGGAGACACTACCAGGAAAGGAAAAATACTAGAATGAGAGGAATGAGAAAATGTCTGGAGAAACCTAGGATCTAAAAATTTTTCCACCAGGAAGTTACTGTTCTCCATAAACAATACAGTTGCTACTTTACAAAACTAGACTATTACAATTGCCAAATGCTTACCATTGCCAAAATATTGTGTTTTATTAATATTTCAGTTTTCCACAATGCTTAGTGCAGTTAAATACAGCAACTTCCAGGTTTGAACAAAATCACTATATCATCATTCACTATATTTTGGCTAGGGAATTTCACTATTTTGATGCAAAATTCACTACTAAATAACTTAAATCAACAGCAAAATATGTCTTAAAGGAACTTTAAATAAATGTCAAGGATGTCTGTACATTTATTTCACGTTTTCAGGTGAAGTTTGAAAACTTCATGTGTCAACCATTTTCAAATGGGTTTTATATGCTAAAAATGTTGTAACTAAACAACATTTCACAAGTATTAAACACTTCATGTAATATATTTATCCAGAGGCTTAAGGCCAGATCAGACTCAACTCTGAACTTCTGATTATATCTTAACATGAAAAGTATAAAGTACAGCACAGTGAATTAAGAACAGATTTGGATTCTAGCTAACAGAGAAAGTAATCACAATTCTACTCTTCTCTACACATGTTTAATTTATAGGACTGTGACAATACTTGAATTTTGTTTTTTAAAAGATGACTGGTAAGGGGATCTTAACCCCCGACTTGGTATTGTCAGCACCACGCTCTCCCAAGTGAGCTAACCAGCCATCCCTACATAGGGATCTGAGCCCTTGGCCTTAACCCTTGACTTGGTGTTGTCAGCACCACGCTCTCCCAAGTAAGTTAACCAGCCGATCATCCCTATGTAGGGATCCGAACCCTTGGCCTTGGTAATATCAGCACCACACTCTCCCAAGTGAGCCCCAGGCCGGCCCTAATACTTGAATTTTAAAAGAGCTATGTTATAAACTAACGGGTAAAAGGCTGAGTAACTGTTGAAAAAATGAGAAAGGTAAATGATTATAGAGGAATTAAAGGACAAGAATCCCCCATATACTATTTTTCCTCTCATACCTTTTTTAAGCAATATTTATTCATGCCTAATCTTATCTTGGTATGGAGTTAAAATGTTGTTTTAACCTATTGTTGACATCCATTTGTTTGCACCAAAAGAATCGAAAGGCAAAGAATATTTTTACATGCTAAAAGTCGCCTTTGTGTTGCACTTTACGATTTAAAGGCCGTTAACAAATTGACCTTATTTGAGTTTCACAGTGGCGCTGTGAGCACCACACTGCAGCTGAGAAGCAGGCTTTGTGTGCCCCCATCCACTTCTCTTTTGATTACATTGCCCTGTGCCCAGGATGCTCAGAACATGACTTTTCATCAACTGAGCATTATTGAGTTAGACTGAATTTTTTATATATTTAAAAAATAAAATGTAAATGACAGTTTAGGTGGTTTTACCATGTCCAATCCAAGAACCAGAGCAATCTGTCAGCACAGGTTTGGTCCACCTCTTAGCGAATATCTTTTCATGACAACCTGAAGTAACCTACTGGATAATGAAAATTATCTTCTGTTACCTAGCTTCTTAAGAGAGACCTTCCAGGAGAAAGGATGTTACACACAGCATTTGCACTATGCCTTATACTCATCACAGTTTCTTCCAATCTTGCCATCGCAATCAAAAAGGAAAAGAGACCACCTCAGACTCTCTCAAGAGGTACTGTAATCTCATTTTATTTTCTAAATTCAATCATTTGGATTTTTAAGAAATACCTTCTGTCTTTACCCTAGTCTAGTAAAGCAAACTCAATTAACTGGAACATTTTTGTTGTGTATGACTTCAAAATATATTTTTAAAAAGACAGAAAGGATTGGTTGATTGTAGGCAGTGAATCAAACCAACTGGCAAACAAGAACAACAATTTGCTGTATTTTTTGCAGAAATAGTGAAGAATCAGCTTGCTGTCTATAACATGGTAATCAGATCCTAGAAAATAATGATTGATTAATATGTCATAATGGTGTTCTAAAAGCAATTTAAGATTTCTCAAAATCTGCTCAAATTCCAAGTCTTCTCTTTATTAACAAGAAAATAATTTGGAATGATTTTATAAAAGGCTACCCAGAAAATTATACTCTATCCCAACACCTGCAACTTTTAGGTAACGAAGTTCTTGCTACATTAAGTCCAGAAGACAGACGCAGTGGTTTTAGACATCATAATCTAGATTTGTCATTGGCTATGTATTTAGAAAACGCTTCCATTTTTGTACTTACTATTTCAGCTTGGCCTAAGAAACAAACATATCTTCATCTGTAAAGAAACACTTTTATAAAGAAAAAATTTTCAAGATTCTATAATTCCAGAAATTGTATGACAGAATCATTTGTCCCTACATGGCTAATTTAGAATTAGCAGTATAACCAAAAAGCACTTGAGCACTATTTGTAATATAATGTGAATGCTGCACACAAATGGAGACCCACAATAGTATAATTTCAAATTCTAAAACATTGACTTGCTTTCCAAGTTCATTTGTTTCTTAACAAATGTATTGAGTGACAGCCAAGTGCCCATCAATATTTACCTAAATTAATTAATTCTACCTCATTTTAACAATCACACAAACAATTTATCTAGAAATTCAGTAGGTTTTTGCAAAGGAAATTAATTGAAAGGAGGAATATATTTCTAAATATAATTTATCACATGTCTCTCTATGTAAACATAATAGTTGTGAAACAGTGAACTCAGTAGCCTTAAAGTGCCAAAGATGAACCTAGTCATTGCCCTTAAAGAACTTCCAGGGCTGAGTTAAGCAGCATTGCTATATCTACAACACAAAGTGTCAACATTCTATATGCTCACTTTTAAATGTCTATTTAAAACTTTTGGCTTATTTTATAAAAATTATATTGAATATGTATAGCATATTTTCAACAACTTAATGGGTCTATTTCAGTTATTAAGGAATTATTTGAATTAAGAAGATGACTGATATTAGCTCAGAAACCCATTATTAAGAATTAATTTATATTTGGCTAAGCCTTTTACCATCTATCGCTATGTAGGAAACAACTGAGAGAATAAGGCTCAGAATGAATGAGGATTAAAGGTAGGGGTGAGCAGGAGGAGTTTGGGTACGGGGTTCAGAGCAGCACATAGAGCCCCTTAGAGCAGAGGGCAGCACCAAACAGTTAAGTAGAGAGACTGGGAAGGAGAAAAGAGAAGAATAATTGGAAGAAGGCAATAGAAGGTTCAATAAAAAATACAAACACACAGTGACCCCAAAAATCCTTCCTTTGAATCGAAAGAACTTCCCAGCACCTAGTCTAGTGCTTGTCATATAGTAGATAATAAATGCATATTAAATGAATAAATAAAATCTCAGAAGACAAGAAAGCATAGCCAGAGCTAGAGATAGAATTGTGGTAATAAACAAAAACCCAGAGGAGAGTTTAAACTCTCTACTATATTTGGCCCGTTGTGATTATGAGAGTGTATAAAAATAATTATAATACAATGTGATTCCCCTACGTTTGCTATGAATGATTTTTTGAGTAGGAATTATATTGTTTTACCTTTGTGTTTCTAGGGCTTAGTGGAGTAAGGCATATAGCAGATGTCCCTTTAATATCTGTGTAACTAAGCTGAACAGGAGCAGAGAATGGAAATTTTTCCCATTGTTAAAGCTTCAGAATTTAATGATATTTATAACAAAAGAGGGAAAACTAAGCAAGGGCCTAGTCTCACTTGCTGTTTTCAGAACAACTTTTATTCTATGACAATATTTAAAACAAACAAGAAAATCTTGGTCCAATCTAGCCTCCAAATATTTCTATTTTCACATTAACTCAAGTTAATTTAATTTTTCTCATCCATAGACAGATATTTTCTGAAAATACTCTGCAATATTTTGGGATATTTTGTGCATTCTTCTCCTTGACAATCTTATTCTTTAATTTCTAATACACATTGCCAACTACTCATATCACTTCTTTAAGGCTAATGGGTTCTCTCTCTACTTACTGCTTTCTGTTCCCCTCTTCTCTACTCTTTTGGGTATTTCTAAACACATGTGTTTTATTGTGTCTCTCAACCATAAAATACCCACATCAGATTTTTTTTCCACGTAAGAACTCAGAGCAAACTTTTTCACATTGTATGCTGACTCAGAAAAGGTCAGTATTTCTTGGAACTCGAGATACAAGGGCACTGTGGAGTACAGTCCAAAGTATTCCTGACAGTGTTACAAAATATGCAAAGATTAACTGTTATTTCCTGTACATTCTGAAAGCCAGAGCTTTTGCATGATCCAGAGATGTTCTTTCAATCACCACTAATCATAACAACATGTATTAAGTACTCAGTAAATTCAAAGCCATGAGCCTTGAAATGTAAAACACAGTATTAAAAACCTCAGTACTACAATCTGAAAGGGCATCATCTCTTCCTATCTAGTTAAAATTGTGAATCCTCTACATTGTTTGTATATGTCAGCGAACAGCTTGGTGGCTTAGTTAAATATCTCTGTAGGTAGCTATCTGTGTATTAAATACCCATTTTGAATCTCATCTATAGTCTTGAGTTAATCCATTGATTTCATTCTTCTATTTCAGGGTGGGGAGATGACATAACTTGGGCACAAACTTATGAAGAAGGTCTCTTTCATGCTCAGCAAAGGTAAAATGCCTCTCAATTTTAATAGATAAGAGAGATACCTTATAAAAGAGCCCAAAACAGGTGTATTAGCTTTTGAAAGGATACCACAGTATTTTTTCTGCTATTGTGTGCTGTTTGGACTAATATAGTTGCTATTAGAATGTTTTTAATAAACAAGAACTCTAAATACCTTTATATTAATTTCTTCATTATCCAACCAAGCTTTTGAATATAAGTTGAATAAACAAACATTATCACTCATTAGGCATTATACAAGCTTAAATAGGAAACAGGTCTAGAGCAGCAATACTTAAGCCTGTCTGATCATCAGAACAATTGGGGGAGCTTTCTTTAAAATCCATATTCACAGTTAATCAGTCACATACTTAGTGTCTACTGCTATATGACTCGCACTGTTCCAGGTTCAATGACCAATTGTGACATGATATTTATCCTGAAAGACTTACTATGCATTTGTGGATGGAGCTGAGAAACATATTTTTTAAAGCTACCCAAGAATTTATAGAAATACCTAAAGAAAATTCAAATACAATACTCTTTAAAGAAGCAGAAAGATCCACTGGATCAGGGCCCACCCAGACGACTTCATCTTAAATTGATTACATTTGCTAAGATCCTCTTTCCAAATAAGGTTACATTCACAGGTGTAGGACTTTAACATATTAAAAAAAAAAGAAAAGAAAAGGAAATATTCCAAATTAAATGAGAATTGAGCAAAACATTGTTTCAAAACTAAACAAATATTACAAAAGGAAGACAATAATCTCATTTCCAAATATAAATGTAACAAACAGCATATTAGCAAAGAATAGCCAGCAGAACAATTAAAGAATGCACCCTGATAAAGCAAAATTGAGTCTTGTACTGCCAGGATAATTCAAGATTAAGAAATCTATGAATTAAAAAAATTTAATATTTATAAGGAGACAATACATACAAGTGTCTCCTATCTCCACAAATGACGAAAACACATTTAATAGAATAAAATATCATGACTGAAAATTTTTTTAAAAACTTGTATTTAAAAATATTAACTTATTTAGATTTATCCTAACAAGGAAATATTTATTCCAGCCCAAAAACAACAACAACAACAAAAAAACGCAATAGCATGCTTACTGAGAAAACAAATAGAAGTGTCCCATTAAAGTCTGGATAAGACAAGGATATTTACAAACACAATGCAACTAACCAATGCACTAACCAATGCAACTAACTATATGATAAAAATTAAAAGTACAAAACTTGGAAAGGGAAAGGTAGAATTACCTTTATTTGCAAATGATGATTGTATACTAGAAAAACTAAAGAGAATCAACAAAACACATCCAGAACAATGAAAATTTTAGTTAAATTAGATGAGAATAAATTAATATAGAAAAATCAATAACACTTATATACTAAACACTTTCAAAGTTTAAAACAACAACAAAGGACTGGTCAGTTAGCTCAGTTGGTTAGAGTGTGGTGCTGATAACACCAAGGTTAAGGGTTTGATCCCTGTACTGGCCAGCTGCCAAAATAAATAAGTAAATAAATAAATACATAAATAAACAAATAAACAACAAAGAAGAAAATATCCCAGACAAAAATATGACAGGAAATGTACAAGATCTATGTAAATCTAAATGCAGTAAGGAAAAAAAATTCACAAACCAATGAGAATGCATATCGTATTCTTGAATAGGAAGACTTAACAACATAAAAATGCCAATTTTTTCTACACTTTAAAATATTTTAAAACAATCACAATAAATAGCTATAAGAATTTTTTAAAAGATGATTCTAAAATTGAAATAAAAAATGGTCATAAATAGTTAGAAACATTTTGAAAAGAAAACAGTAAGTATTAGGCATTTATCAATATTAAGTACAGAGCTATAATAAACCAGTATGTTACAAGTAAATGAATAGAACAGAATGGAGAGCACAGAAATAAAACCATCAAATATAAATAGATTAAACACTTAGAGTGGCTCAATGGAATAAAAAACAAGACCCAACTATACACTGCTGACAGGAGATTTCACTTCACCTTTAAGGACACTCATAGACTAAAAGCAAAGGGATAGAAAAAGATATTTCATGCAAACCTAAACCAAAAGAGAGCAGGAGTAGCTATACTAATATCAGATAAAACAGACTTCAGGTCAAAAAAAAAATCCTTGGTTCAACATACAAAAAGTAATAAATGTGATACACCACATTAACAGAATGAAGGATAAAAACCATATGATTATCTTAATAGATGCAGAAAAAGCATTTGACAAAATTAAACATCTTTTCATCATTAAAATTCTCAACAAATTAGGTGTAGAAAGAATAGACCTCAATACACTAAAGGCCACATATGATAAGTTCATAGTTAACATGTTCGACAAGGAAAGTTAAAAGCTCTGTCTCTAACATCAGCAAGAAGACAAAGATGGCCACTCTCAACACTCCTATTCAACACAGTAACTGGCAAGACAAAGAAATAAAAGGCATTCGAATTGGAAAGGAAAAGCTAAATTGTCTCTTTTTGCAGATGACATGATCTTATACATAGAAAACACTAAGGATGTCACCAAAACACTGTTAGAATTAATAAATAAATTCAGTAAAGTTGTAAGATACAAAATCAATATACAAAAATCAGTAGTGTTTCTATACGTTGACAACAAACTATCAAAAAAAGAAATCAAAGAACCAATCCTATTTACGATGGCTGCAAAAATAAAATAAGATAAAGTACTGAAGAATAAACTTAAGCAGAGAGGTAAAATACCTCTAGCCTGAAAACTAGAAGACATTGATGAAAGAAATTGAAGACACAAATAAATGGGAAAAAAAAATCCCATGTTTATGAACTGAAACAATAATATTGTTAAAATGTCCATACTACCCAAAGAAATCTACAGACTTAATGTAATCCTTATCAAAAGTCCAATGCCATTTTTCACAGAAATAGGAAAAACAATCCTAAAATTTGTATGGAACCACAAAAGACCTGAACAGCTAAAATACCTAAAAGAAAACATTGGGGAAACACTTCAGGAAGTAGGACTGGGCCAAGAATTTATGAATATGATCCCAAAAGCACAGGCAACAGCAACAACAAAAATAAACAAATGGCATTATATCAAACTAAAAAGCTTCTGCACAACAAAAGAAACAATTAAAGAGTGAAAAGACAACCTACAGAGTGGGATACAATATTGTCAAATTATGTATCTGACAAAGGATTAATATCCAGAATATAAAAGGAACCCAAACAACTTAACAATAAAAAATAAATAACCTGATTAAAAAATGGGCAAAAGAGCTGAACAGGCATTTCTAAAAGGAAAATATACAAATGGCCAACAGACACATGAAAAATGTTCAGCATTTTTTTTTGGCATTTCAAAAATGGAAAGCAGTCTGGAGGTTCCTCAAACAACTATAGATAGAACTGCCATATAATCCAGCAATTCCACTGCTGGGTATATACCCAAAAGAATGGAAGTCATCATGTCTTAGGGATAGCTGCACCTCCATGTTTATCATAGCTCTATTTACAATAGTGAAGAGTTGGAACCAACCTATATGTCCACTGTCAGATGACTGGATAAGGAAAATGTGGTATATTTACACAATGGAATACTACTCTGCCATAAAAAAGAATGAAATACTGCCATTCACAGCAACATGTATGAACTTAGAGAAAATTATGTTAAGTGAAATAAGCCAGGCACAGAAAGAGAAACACTGCATGTCCTAACTCAAAAATGGGAGCTAAACAATAAACAAATAACTTTTTTAAAAAGGAAGAAAGAAAGATACAACAATCACAATAATGCATTGAAGTTTCAAAAGGAGGGAACAGAACTGAGGTTACCAGAGACGGGAAAGGAGGAGGGACGGGTAAGGGAAGAATTGGTAAAGGGACATGAAAACAATTTCATTGTATAATGTTGAATATACTAATTATCCTGATTTGAGGATCACATATTGCACACAGGTATTAGTATTTAACTCTGTACACCACAGATATGTACAATCAACTATGTTACAATAAAAAAAAAGTGAAAAAAAAACCTATTGCAAAGCTACGGTAATCAAAACAGCATTGTACTGGCATTAAAAACAGAGACATAGACCAATGGAACAGAATAGAGAGGCTAGAATAAATAAATTCATACTTTTACATTCAGTTGATCTTTAATAAAGAGTTTTAAAACACACGATGGGGAAATGTCAGTCTCTTCAATTAATGGTGCTGGAAAAACTGGACATGCACATGCAGAAAATGAAGTCAGACTCTCATCTCACACCATATACAAAAGTCAACGCAAAATCAATTAAAGACTTAAATATAAGACCTGAAACTGTAAAACTACTACAAGAAAGCATAGCGGAAAACCTCCATGACATTTGTCTGGGCAATGATTTTTTGGATATTACTCCAAAAGCACAGGCAGCAAAAGCAAAAATGGACAAATGAGATTACATCAAACTAAGAAGCTTCTGCACAGCAAAGAAAGCAATCAACAGAGTAAAGAGACAATCTATGGAATGGGAAAAATTATTTGCAAACCATACATCTAAGGGGCTAGTATCCAAAATACATAAGGAATTCAAATAAATCAATAACAAGAAAACAACCCAATTAAAAATTGGGCAAAGGACTTAAACAGACATTTCTCAAGACTTACAAATGGCCAATAAGCACATGAAAAAATGTTCAACATCACTGATCATCAGGGAAATGCAAATTAAAACCAAAATAAGATATCATTTCACCGCAATTGGAATGGCTATTATCAACAAAACAGAAAATAACAAATGCTGTAGAGGATGTAGAGAAAAAGAAACTCTCCTACATTGTTGGTGGGAATGTAAATTGGTATAGTCACTGTGGAAAATCGTATGGAGGTTCCTCAGAGAACTAAAAATAGATCTATCTTAAAAGCCAGCTATCCCACAGCTGGGTATACACCCAAAGGAAATGAAATGGATATATCAAAAAGACACCTGCAGTCCCATGTTCATTGTAATGCTATTCACGATAGGCAAGAGATGGAATCAACCTAAATGTCCATCAATGGAGAAATGGATTTTCAAAACTGTAGCATATATACACAATGGAAAACTATTCAGCTATAAAAAGTAATGATATCCTATCATTTGGAGCAACTTGGATGGAAATGGAAACCATCATGTTAAGTGAAGTCAGGCATAGAAAGACAAATAACTCTATGATCTCACTCATATGTGGAATCTAGGGAGAAAATAGTGGTTCTCACAGAAGTAGAGAGTAGAACAACGGTTATCAGAGGCTGGGGGGTTAGGGAGGGAGGAAAAGTGGTGGACTAAAGGGTACAAAACTATACTATCTACACTAAGTGAATCACTGTGCAGTATATGCATGTATTGAAACAACACTCTGTACCCCACAAATACGTACAAGTAAATGTTAAAAAAATAAGAAGATAGATAAATAAATACATGAATACGTAAATAAATATGTAAATGGGTAAAGGACCTGAATAGACATTTCTCAAAAGAAGACAAACAAATATATTGGGGGAACCCTGGATATTGCTAATCATCATGGAAATGCAAATTAAAACCACAATGAGATATTACTTCACACCTGTCAGAATGGCTCTTATCAAAAAGATGAATGAGGATGAGGAAAAAAGAAACCCTTGTACATTGTTGGTAGAAATGAAAATTAGTTCAGCCATTAGGGAAAACAGTATGGAGGGTCTTCAAAACACCAAAAATAGAACAACCATATGATACAGCAATCCTACTACTGGGTAAGCATCCAAAGAATATGAAACCTGAGTGACCATTAAAGGGTGATTGGCTAGAGAAAACGTGGTATATATACATATACTATTTAGCCTTTAAAAAGAAGGAATCCTGTTGTTTGTGTCTACAGGGAAGAACCTGAAGTTTATTATGGTAAATGAAATAAACCAGACACAGAAAGACAAATACCACATGATCTCATTTATACATGGAATCTAAAAACATTGAATTCCTAGAATGTTTACCATTCTATGGTGGTTACCAGTGGCTAGAGTTTGGGGTATTGGGGAAATGTTGGTCAAAGGACACACAGTTTCATTTAGACTGGAGGAATAAGTTCAAGAGTTCTATTGTATATCATGGTAACAATACTTAATAACAATACTTAATACTACAATAACAATATTGTATACTTGAAGATTGCTAAGAGAGTAAATTTTAAGTGTTCTTGCCACAAAAAAAAATACAAGGAAATGTACACTCGTATTTAAGTAGCTTGATTTAGTTGTTCCACAACATAAACATATTTCAAAACATTATGTACACCATTAATATATACAACTTTTACTCATCAAATAGATAGATACTCGTTAGAGTGCAGCCTTATAACACCAAGGTCATGAGTTTGGATCACTGTACCAGCCAGCTTCACCACCCCAGCCCCCCCAAAATAGATAGATACCACAGGAATTTTTTAGCTAATGAAGTGATATTTTAAATCAGGGTAGGGGAAATAGATTATGTATTCATTAGTGTTAAAGAGAAGTTAGTAGCCATCTGGGAAAAATAGATAAATTTGGATTTATGCCAAAATAAATTACAAAGATGTAATCATAGAAATGAAATCATTAAGGTGCTAGAAGATACTATTGCAAAATTTTATTTCTTTAATTTTTGGAGTAGGGGAGGGCCAAGATTAGGATGGGGCAAGAGAGGTGCCTCTAATGCACCTGGAGGCTCCCCTCGCTCCAGCCTAGTCCTAGCCCATAATATGGCCTTTAATATGGCTTGAGTATGGCCAAGGAAAAAAAGAAAAGAAAAAGCCTAAAAGAAACAACTAATATTCTTGATTAAATGAATTTTTTACGTAACCAAAAACTTATCATGAGCAAAGGAAAAAGATAAAAAACAAAACAAATGGAAAACTGTAGTATATATCACAAGGCTGAATTTCTCTAATATGTATAGTACTCCTATAAATTAATAAGAAAAAGATCAACAAGTCAATAGAAAAAAATGAGCAAAGTATATGATAGTACGTACAATAGAAAAATAAGTAACTCAAATGTTGGAGTAAGATTGACTGTTTTATAAGAAAGTAAAAACACATTAATTTCTCTTTTTTCACCTATTGGATAGAAAAATTTAAAAATTGATAACCTGTTTTAGTGAGAGGAAACAGTTACCAGAGACAATAAAAAACTGCACAATAGATCAGCTTCTATGGAGAGCATATATCAAAAGTATAAATGCACACATTCTTTGACCCAGAAATTCTACATTTGGAATTTACTCACAAACATACCTACCCATATTTATGTGTGCAAAATCTCATATAAATAACAGCATGTTTACATTTTTACAAATGTATATATTTAAAAACAATCTAAACACAAGAGACCGGAATAATTTAAATACTCATGTTTGGGGGGACTAATTAGATAAATTAAAATATATCTGTATAATTGAATATTATACAGAAGACCAATTGAATCATATCTAGGATATGTTAAAAAAGCAAAATTCAAATACATGTTCTTTTGCTTTTCACAAAGAAAGGAATATATACATAAATATGGACCTGCATATGGATATTTAAGAGTATAATACAACATACATATCCATATTCAGGTATATGACCTGAAACCCTCTGGAAGGAAACAAGAAATAGTAACACAGTTTACTTATGGAACATAGCAGTGGAAAGAGAACTTTTTTCTCTTTTTAACTTTTGAGTTTTAAATCAGCTGAATTTGCAATTTATTTCTTTAGAAACTTGAGAATTTGAAAACATAATTCACCAAATGATGCTAAGCAGCTAGGCTTTTACAGGCTCTGATTTTAGACAGTATCAAAAGGAAAGCTACCAAAAGCTACTCTTTCTTTCCACTCAGATTTTTCACAATCTGAAGTGCTAGTTAACAAGGTTTTAGACCAGAGACCACCTGTTTTTATACAATGTGCAAGTTAAGAATGATTTTTACATTTTTAAACTTTCAAAAAAAATCAAAAGAATAATATTTTTTGACATGTAAAAATTACATGAAATTCAAATTCCAGAGTCCATAAATAAAGTTTTGCTCACTTTTTCTTTTTCTTTTTTCTTTTTTTTTTTTTTTTACATATTTTGTATGGCTGCTTCTGTGTGATAATGGCACAGTTGAGCAGTTGCAAATGAGACCACGTGGCCTGCAAAACCTCAAATACTTACTATCTGTCCCTACTGAAGAAGTTTTCAGAGTCCTGTGTTAGAATGTTCCTACTTCTATTTCTGCCAAAAATACTCCTGTGTTTTTACTGAAATGGAATAGTGTCTTGGTTTGAATGTGTGAACAACTCACTCACAGCTAAACTGCTAAACTGCTAAGAGTGCGTGAGTCACCTACGTTCTAAATTTTTTCCTGTACTTTAATTTCCTGGAAATCTGATGCCAAAGTTAGTTTTCCTAAGGTTACTTCTATCTTTTTCCCCTACACGTAGCTGCCCTCATTTCCAGCTGTCGTGCAGATGCTGGGAAGAAATGGTATCCATTCAGGAAATCAGAAAAACTTGCACCCCTAAACTGATCTATGACTTGTGACACTTATATCTACCGAAGCTTGACCAGAGGAAGAGTTATCTAGTAGAAAATTGCTAGGCTGATGTTTAGAAGGTATGAGTTCTAAATCTGCCTCTAAAAACATCAATAAGTATTTTTAGGATTAGTTTTCTACTAATAAAAAGTGGGAATAATATTTCATTCATCAGATCTCTAGTCTGTCTTTTCACCAATAAGTTTGAGGATGTTGGCAAATGCTAGCTTTCTAACTATATTCTAAATCTTAAAACGTAAGTTATAGAATTTATTTTCAGCTGAAATTTACATATATTCCAAGTTTGAGGATTAAATAAAATTATTAACAATTCAAAGTTTGTGTTTAATACTTATTGAGACTAAAAATATTGGGTATAGCTTAGGCTCATGTGAAATGACAGGCATTTTATATATTTCTGTTAACTGTTATTTTTTAAAATGTGTGCTGAATAAGTTTACAATAGAGTCCATCTCATTTGATGCCCATGATCCTCTTGGGATTAAAGCAGCATTTTAAAAATCATAATATATATCCAAATTATAATTATTTTATCTTTCACTATAGTTAATGTTCTAATTTTTCTCTTAACCTAAAGAGCAAAGAAGTCAATCAGCTACCATAGTAACTTCTGCTCAGAGTTAAAATCAAAATGACCCTGAAAAATGTATAGATAGGGAACTTTACTTAGGTTCTTTATTCATTGTAGGTTGGTACAAGAATGAAAGGATGTGAAAATAGTAAAATATTAATATGTTTTTTGAAAAACTTTAAAAACAACAAATAAAAAATCTTTGACTCTTCTCCTGAAATCATATATCAAGTGCTCATTGGGAATGAATATCTTTTTCATAATACCCCTTCATCTCTGGAGACAGAATTGATTTTTATTTATCTAACTGCACTGCAGTTACATAAGAATCACCAGATAAGCTTGTTGAGCTTCAGATGACTGATCCCACCCCAGACTGAGTGGTTCTGGGATAGAGCCCATGAATTCACAGCTCTCATAAGCTACCCGGTGATACTGATGCTGTTGGTTCTGGTGTTCAGTTCACACACTGAATAACACTACTGTGAACTACATTACTACAATATGTAAACCTGAGATTTTTACTTTAAGTCTTGTTGAAAGTACTAAAACTTAAAATCTAATTCCACTGTACATTTTGATTAAAAGTTAATCACTTGGCTTAACTCCACTTTCTTTGTTTAGTAACAAGCCATTGATGGTTATTCATCACTTGGAGAATTGTCAATATTGCCAAGGTAATTTTAGCTCCTGAGATCTTATTATGTTTCCAATATGAAGTAGAAAAGTGACCTGGTAAGAGTAGCTAAGAAGGCACTCAGCAATTCCTAATCAAGAGGAAAAGAAAAAAAAAGACAACTGCCAGAGTACCACCCTTTTACTAAGGTATTTAAAGAATACAGTGATTGTTAGCAACCTACTGAATATACTTCTATTATATGCTGTTTGGAATTTGATATTCCTCTTCTTCCCACAAAAAAATGGAGGGGGGTGAGAAAACTTTCTAAAAGAAGTTTTAACCAATGAATCAATGAGTTATGTGAAAATATAAAACTAGTGCATTAATTGATGTGATTATCCTTTGAAGTCTTCATGGACAGACTCTCATTGCTTCCCTATGAGGGATAAAGTGGCAATAAGCCAATGAACTATTAACACCCAGATTATAGGTGCAAGAAAAAAAAGCAAAATATTAGCTTTATTTTGCTCTGTTATATTAAAGATGTCTTGATCCTTAAAATTAACTGACATTTTGTTTTCTCCCACAGCACTAAAAGAAGTATTTGCACAAAATGAAGAAATACAAGAAATGGCTCAGAATAATTTCATCATGCTGAATGTCATGGTACATGAGCTCTACAATATTTTCTTAATATCACAATTTAATGAGAAATTTGAATCCCTTTTTTTCTATTTTTAAAACAAAAACAGCTAAGTAGTGGTTGAAACAGAATGTCATAAAGAATTGTAAAAGGCAAACATATACAATTTACTGAAAATTTAGTTTGCATAAAATATCTTTGAAATTGTCAAAAATAATCCAATCCAATAACATTCATATTTTTCTTCTCCTGCTAGCATGAGACCACTGATAAGAATTTATCACCTGATGGGCAATATGTGCCTAGAATCATGTTTGTGGGTATGTGTGTAGTATCATCTCATCAGATTTACAAAATTAATAGAATCTTAGCATTCTTGCTTTTATTTCTTTTTAAAAGGCTAGTTCAAGTACTATTCTTTTTAAAGGAAGTCATTTCTAATCCAATCAGTAACAGCTCTTGGTTCTACCATCAAAATTCACTATATTAATAATTTGTAACTTTTAAATATTTTAAAAAGCAACTTAATGCTATTAAATCAATATCCCAATGTACTTTCAGTACAGAGCCCCAAACTGGATTGACAGACAGCTGTGACACACTAACAGGAGAATTCAGGCTTAGTTCTCAGTAATCTACATGTATGAAAACTAATTTTGCTTATAAATTTGCTTGACATTAGTTTTAGAGTAAGAGGAAAAATGATGTAAGAACATGTTAATACTTCAGTGATTTGTTTTTTTTTTTTTTCTTGGCAGATCCTTCTTTAACAGTCAGAGCTGATATAATTGGAAGATACTCTAATAGACTGTATACATATGAACCTCAGGATTTACCAGTATGTAAGTCTTCATAAACTACCTTGATCAGTGGTACTAGCTGATCCCTGATGGTTTGCTAAAAGGGTTCCTGATTCCCTGGGTCAGTGCTTCTCCACAAACAGTGCAATCCACAAATCAGAATGCTGGGTTTGATGGTGTTTAAAACGTAAATGCCTAGCTCCCACCAAAATCGGAATTTCTTGGGCACCTCAGAATCTACTTTAACAGGGATGCCTGAGGGTCCATATGATAACTGAATTTTGAGACCACTAAAAGAAATATAGTACACATTAAAATGATACCAGTCTTAAGAGAGAGTTCATTCTGGTGTCAGAGATTACATGCAATTTCCTAAAAGGGTAATAATGAAATCTTTTTGCTTACCTTTAATTTCTATACACAAAAATGTACAGTTTTACTTAGGACTTTAATCTATTTTTTACAACATTCACTATCAATTGCATGAAATAAGAAAACTATGCTTGCCAGTTCCAGCAATACTAATACAAAATGATCAGTTAATAAAGATACTCCCTCAAACCCCTCTGATAAAATTGTTTAACATAAAGTTGATCAACCAGCTCTGAATGGTCTAATTCCTAAATTTAAATGTACACCTTTAGCATATTTTTTAATGTCACAGATGAATCCCCATGTTTTTAAAGCTATTACTTTAAATTGGCCAGTTTCAGATTCTACAGTTATTATAACATTTGATACTTTCATTTACTAATAGCATAACCTATGTTTACCCTTTTTTCAGTGATAGAAAACATGAAGAAAGCATTAAGACTTATTCAATCAGAGTAGTAAGAGATGATAGAAAAATGCCTTCACTTCTAAGAGGTCAAATCTCATGAAGAAAACCACTGGCTCATTGACAAACCCTAAGTGTGCAAGTATATGGATTTTGTAACATTACTATTTAGATTTTTTAATGTATTTGCAATATTCTTACAGAAGTAAAATGATATTTTAATAAATTTGTTGAAACCTGAGCATGACAATGTAGTAGTTTGATTTCTGCCTGCATCAGTAGCAAAGAAAGCTTATCAGAAGCCAAGAGTCATGGTGGAGATAGGAGGACCTAAATAAAAGGTGTCTATACTCGTTTTCTCACCTCTCAATCACTCCACCAACTGATCTGATTTTAATTCTGCCCTCTCCACTCTATCGAACCTGATAGGTTAGGTCTGAAGTGATCTCCACATTGCCAAAGCACATAGATGCATCTCTGTGCACTTCTCTTTTTTTTTTTTTTTTTTTCTTTTGACTTTTTCCGTGTCCGGCAACGGATCGCAACCCTCAGTGTTGCCCCCGTACCGGACCGCGGACCGGGGACCGGCAACGGGATTGCAACCCTCGGCGTTGCTCCCGCGCCTCGCTCAGCCAGTGAGCAGGAACCGGTCCATATGTGGGATCCGAACCCTCGGGCGGGAGCGCTGCCGCGCTTCCCAAGCGGCGCACTATCCAGTGCGCCACTGGGCCGGCCCCTGTGCACTTCTTATTTAAACTTTTACCAGCATGTTTTTCAGAATTAACCACTTACTTCTTTTCCTTCTTTAAATTAAAAGACATTTAAAACCTAAATACAATAAATTAAAAATATATTTTAAAAACTGAACTACACATTTTCCTTAATTTAATTACTGGGTAGATTTTTTTTTAATAATTGGGAAAATTTTTATCCAAAATTGTTCAGTGAAGGGTGGGGTTGGGTTGAGAATATTGACAGAAGTGAATTTGGTAGATTACCCAGAGGTTTCTTTAGCCTTGAGAGTTGAGAAGTAATTGTATTTAGGTCCCAGGATATGTGACCCAACACAACTCATTTATTTTTTCCCAAAGATCTTAATGGAATGAGTTTTCTTTGTTTTCAAGGCAATCTAAATTCATTGTAGAAATGTTAAATAATTTTAAGAAAAGTGAAAATTTCTCAGGAATATAGAAGAATTTCTCCAGTTAACTAGCAGGAAAAAAATTATATCTATTCTGAAATGATTAAATATCCAACAACCAACTCAATTCTTCACAGAAAGCCTCCAGAGGGTCAATACCATGTTTCCTATTCCTTTAAATAACCACAAAAATATTCCTGCTAATGGAAATCCCATAATTACCTGTGAGTAATTATCAGAAGGTAGAAACTGTTTTAGGTGGGCAAATATTTTCCTAACCCATAGGATTTACTGCATTTAACAAAATTTGAATTGTTTTGAGATATAAAAGTTCACTTTTATATAAGATAGGTTTACATAGGTTTTGATGAGTAAGAGAGAGAAAGTTTTTCTCCAGGTGTTATTTGATCACTATTCTATTGCAGACTTTAACTGATCTATTTGGATAGAAATAGGTCACACAACCATCAGTACTAGATATCAATGTATCCTATTGCAAAATAATATTAAATATCCTATTTTTATTTTTACATTATATCCTATTCTTATTTTAATTTTGCATTTTAGATCAAAGTCTGGAGTTAATTTTTTAAATGAATGCTTAAAGAGCAAAATATACTGGAATTCTCTGATTTAGTAGTTTAACACATGAAGACTAAAGTAATATAAGGGTACTACAAAAAGTTTATAGGAAAATAAAATTGAAAGATACAAATCTTTCCATGAACTTTTTGAAGTACCCTTGTATAGCTGATTTCATTGTTGCATAAATAGTGCAGAGGCAGAAAATATCAGCAGTCATTTGCAATGAACTACAGAAGAGATCTGTTGACTATTTAGTTGTTGTTTTAAGAATAAAATTCAACATTTATCTTTAATTAGTATAAAAATGTTACTAAATAGTAAATCAATTGTTATAATAAAAATTTGTATGCCTTCTATTTTAATAGACATATTTTGTTATATATATTCAATTATGAATATAATTTATGTATATTGATATTTAATACACATATATTATGCATATCATTATTTGATAATCAGTTATATCAGTTAGTATAGCATTGTAACAAATTTAGCTTTCCTTCTCTACCGTACTTTAACAATTAAACTCTATATCCTAGTTGACATTTCTACCTAATATCTTTACTTTATAAAATTAGTTGTTTGGATTCAATCACTTCTGTGTTCCCCCTATCTTTGAAATGTAGAACTACACTTAGTGTGTGTATATGTATCACTTTACTTCCACTACTTTTTTCCATATAATCTCCAATGAATTATTTCTTCCCTAACACATCTAATGTTAAGAAAAGGATTACTAACATCAACTACCTGAAATAGTATGCACAATTCTGTGAACACAAGCATTTTTATGCAGAAGCTTTCAGAGCTTGCATTTGCATTTCAAAAAGATATAATAGTCAAAAAAGCTATTAAAGGGATTAAAATGGGGTTCCCAGAAAAAAATACAGGGTTGCCAGATAAAGTACAGGACATTTGGTTAAATTTAAATGAGAAATAAACAACATTTAAAAATATATAAGTATGTCTTGTGCAATATTTGGGATATATTTGTACTAAAATATATTTGTTCTTTATATAAAAATTTAAATTTAACTGGGCAACATGTATCTTTATTGCTAATATGACAACCTTAGTTTAGAACTACTGCACCAGATTCTACTCCTCTTCTTCGTCCTCCCCATTTTTTTGGTCAAAAATAGCAATATTTCTTTTATATTTCAAATCAATCTCTCAATTTTTGAGTTCAAAAAAACTCTCAATTAATTATGTTACAGTATTTAACCTTTCCCAATTATCCAATATTTAAATTCTACTCTGTGCCAGATACTGTGTGTTGCTGTGTGGATCCAAAGATGAACTGGATAAAAGTAAGGTAATTTTGGTCTTTCTGAGTAATTCACAGTCTAGTGGTAAGATATATCACTGATGGAAAATAACTCCTTACTAAACAATGTAATAGGATGATGTGAAATCAGTAAAGAGATGGCCCAACCTTTTAGTAGAACCGTCAGGCTTCTTACAAGATGCTGCTCCCATGAATCTTGAATGATATGAGAATGTATCCCATCAATATGAAAACTAATATGAAATGAATAATAAGGCATACTGTAGGGACTAAATAAGTTCTTATTTATTGGTTTAACCTTAAAATACAAACATATACAGAATTTTCTTAGTAGGATCTTTCAGAATTTTAGATTAAATAAGAGTGTGTCAAGCTTCAGTCAAACTTATTTTTTTAAGACATTGACTTACATACATAAAGATTCATAGAGATTTACTTATGAGCTCTTTTTTCACTAGAACTTCTTAAACCACAACTATACACAATCTGAACATTCATGAACATCCTTACAAGATAAAAAAAATAAGCATTTTTTCCTGCTTTTCACACTTGTTTCATGTGCAATGTCTATCTTTTTCTCTAAATGGAAAGCCCTTGGGAACAGAAAGGCAAAAAATCTCTACCCCCACCCCCACTCTCTATCATGCTCACACACACACAATCTTACAAAATAAATTGCATGAGTGCTGCAAGGGAGTACAGGATTGTGGGGAGCTCCCACAATAGGGTGCCATTAAACACTTCACTCTCCTGGTGTTGGCAGTGATACGGTTTATGAATACCAGTTTCTGAACATCTTTTCTGGAATGAATCCACTGCAATGCAACTGAATTTTTGCTGAGTACTGATGACTGCAAGTTCTGGAAGTATATTATAGTTATTTTCCAGAAATGGATACTGCTACAGGTTGAATTGTGTTCCTGCAGCAATTCATAGATTGAAGTCCTGACACTCAGTACTTCAGAATGACCTTATTTGGAAATAAGGTCATTAAAGATGTAATTAGTTAAGATGAGGTCATACAGGAGTATGGTGGGGTCCCTAATCCAATATGACTGGTGTCTTTATAGAAAGGGGAAATTTAGACACAGACATGCACACAGTGAACACCACATGAACATGAAGGCAGAGATTGAGGTCTCTGCAACAGAAGCTAAGGAATGCCAGAGGCTGGCAGCAACCCTACCAGGTGAGAGGCATGGAAGAGATTCTCCTTCATAGTTCTTGAAAAGAGCCAACACTGACAATGCCTTGATCTCAGACCTCTAGCTTCCAGAACTGTGAGACAAATTTTTGTTATTTAAGCCACTCAATGTGTTGTACTTTGTTATGACAGTCCTACCAAACCCATACAAATGCTTTCTCCCATCCCCAATTTACATGCTTCCCATGGTAGGTAAGGAAACACCAAGACTTCACATCACACACTTAAAAAGAAACCCTGCTAGAATGGAAGAATTGTTTCTTACAATAAGTTTGTTAGGTCCTAGTTCTATCCTCCGAACAGATTTCCGCCCAATTAAATGTTATTTCAGTAAAGAGTTTTATATCATGGGTTAAGTTAATCCAGTTTATGAAATACTTAAAGCAAATGCTGTGGCTCTAACTTAAAAGCAAAAGTCATTCCCAGAGAAAGAGCTGATTATTGTGTTTGGCATTTTTAGTTTCCCTTAAGGCAAACAGACATAGAACCCTTGCTATGTTCCAGGCACTGTGCTGAAGTCTTTGCATGGATTATCTCACTAGTACCTCACCGCCGATGTGAAATACTGTTATCCTCATTTAAATTGTCTGTGCCTGAAGATGTGCACAGACAATTTAAATGAGGATAAAAGAGTCACACAAAAATGAGTGGAGCCAGATCTCAAACCCAGCAAGTTTGGCTCCTGAGTTCACACATGTAACCACAGACTATTCTGTTTTGGATTTGTTGTGAAAAACAGAAGATCAAACTAAAACTGACATTATGCAACAACTGAAAATATTTAGACTATGTTCTTTATTAAAGAAGGGCAGTTAACATTGTTTTCAATTACATT